ACCATCTGTTGACAGGCTCTGATAGTAGACCATTTTCATCTCCTACTGCACCACCAGCATTTTATCACTTTTTAAACCATAGTCTTGGCTTTTTCTTAAATTCTAATTGAATGGGGAACTAATATTAAATTATTACAATACAAATTATAGTATTAATATATTACAATTATTACTATAATAAATGCTTATACCAGTGAATGCAAAATCCAGTCGAGATAGTTTACTGTACAGTGTTCGAGTCTGTCTCTTCCCCTCCAAGAATTCAGAAGGCATTATAGTTACGCTTCCTAATATGTCATACTTGTTCTGCGTGATTTTTTTCTTTTTTTTTTTTTTTTTAAATGACTGTCCAGGTGAATGGATAACAGGGATAGGAATGAAACATGAGAAGTGTTTAATTAAGACAAATAGATACAGAATTTGTAAGACTCAAGATTTATTCTGAGAGCGCGCTGATTTTGAAATATGCCAAGTAAAATAGAATTAAAGTGTAATCAGGCCATATTGGCAAATCCACAAGTAACTTAAAAAATTCTGCTAGTGTCAGACTTTTTTTTTTTTAAACTTTATAGAACAGCAATAAAATTTTAGTTTTCTGAGGGTGGCTGAATGCTGTATCTTGTAAATGATATCAGCAGTTAGTAATGCATCTGCATTTGGTTGGAATGGCAGAGGGGAGTATCCTGGTGAATCCCAAGAGCTTGAGGCAGGCTGGGCCAGGGGAGCTTGGAGCCAATATTCTCTGAATGGATTTGAGTTTAAAGTGAGAAAGCCACTGGCCAAGGCTTTTATTTGGTGAAATGGCCTGATTTTTCTTGCCTGTAATTTTACATGTCTGCTTTGAACAGTGCTTAAGCAGTTAAAACCACTTAAAATGCATTGAGCAATAATTTACTAACTTGCCATTAGATGGACTCTTTTAATGGATATTAATTTTAAAAGAAAACAAAATTGATGATATTGTCCAATTTGGAATAACAGAAAAATTTAGCTGTTTTTTGGAAGTGTCAGTCAGTAACAGTTATTTCATCATTTCTGTGTAGCAGTTTTTGTATGTCTAGTATGACATAGCTTGACTCTGCTACCTCCTACCTGACTGTTCTGTAAAGGATATGTTCGTTTTCATCAATGTTAATCTGTAAATTAATTCCAGAAATACAACATCATGAGTAAATGTGTGCTCTGTGAGCAAGGCCAGTAGAGAAGTACAGGATAAGGTGGCAAGATTAATTGGTTCTAGAGAGGTTAGTGCTCTTATTTCCCTGGTGTGCAGAACAAATGACTTTTAAGAAAAAGTTAACAGTTACAAGATAGCCCTGTCCTTTTGATACAGTTACATGAGGCTTCTAAAATGGCACATGTACCATTCTCTTACTTCTGTTCTGCTTTATAGATATAATGCTTTTCCATCCTCCGTTAATGAAAGGATCTGGTCTCCATTTCTTCTGCGTTTTTGTGTTGATCTGTACTAGGTCATCACTTGATCTGTGATGTAAGAACATGTTTTTGAAAGCTGCTTCTGTTCCTTCTGTCTCTTTCTGTTCCTTCCTCTCCTCCTGCCTCCTTTGTATGAAGTCTTGTACGGCTCAATTTGACATTTAATACCTTATTCCTTCTCCTGGCTTTTCCTGTCCTTTCAGTGGTTTATCCAGTTTATAAAGTGCATTATCCTCCAGATTCTCTTGTGAGGCTATAGCTGTCTGTGAAGTTTGCTCCTGACTATCTTTTTCTGTGATACCACTGTGTGAAAAGGTGAAGAGGGGAGTTGTGCATCAAACCTAACCCTTGAAAAGCAAATACTTGGTTCTGTGTGATAAGAACAGTGTCATGGTCAGAATGACTGTGAAAGGTTCCCGAGCTCTCCAAAGTCACAGGAAAGTTATTTTGTTGACACGACCTGGATTGGGACTTACGTTTCTGTAGATACTTCTCTTTTCTCTTGTGAGTTTCAAAGTTGGCAAACATAGAAACTGATTCATTTCGGACAACAAAGAAGGCAGCGTGATTGAAGTGATGCTTGCAAGAACTGGTTACTTTTTTTTTTTTCTGATTACTGCTTGATTTGTACTGGAAACACGTTGCATGTTTTTACAGGCAACTGAGATGTTATCACAAGTACTGAAAACTGAAGGTACAAGGCCAATGATAATGTTCTGTTTTTCTGAGACTGTACGTAAAATAGATCATGGTTGGCTGGAAGGTCGAGTTAATGTTACTGCTGCAGCCGTGATGACAAGGATGTAGAGGGATGCTGTCTCTGCATATATGGATTTGCAGAAGTTGCCACTCTGATGTCATCATGCTGGTAAAGGTGTATTGTGTACTTGCATGGCTGGTTTCTGTCCCTAGGGTAGCTTTATGGCAATGCAAAGAACATCTTTATGGAGCTTACAGTCGTTCTGGGAGTGCTTTGTTGTTTCAGAATGCAAAAGTTTCTGAGTTGAAGTGCTCATCACGTTTATGTAATAGATTCTGTTCTAATAAACACAGAGGAGCTTTTTCCCCCAAATCCATCCTTTGGTCTTGACAGGAGAAGGAAAGATGGTTTTTCTTGCCCCTGGCCCGCCCCCTCCCCGTTCCTCCTTTTATTAATTGTAGAACTGGACAGCAGTAACCACAATTGATGATTTCCAAGGTAGTAATTGATAAAAGATGGCCTGATAACAAAGGCTGGAATAGGTGATTTGTACCTGAACAATAAAAGGATAATGAGATTATAATGAGCATGGAACAAAGACAATGAACTTACAATGAGTGTAGCACAGGCTCAGAATGGACGTTGCTACGTACAAAGGCTAGGCTTGTTTGGTAAACCCAAAGAGCTTGCTGAAAACTTGTCAATTGGATGGAGAGAAATGCTTGCTCTAGGGTCAAACTACTGTATAATTTTCTTATAGGCTCGGCATAACTTATGCCTAGTGCTCTGCTTTTTCTTCTGAATATGTAACGTTCCTAAAATGGACAAGGAAAACTGAGAATGAGCGAAATGAAAATTTACTATGGAATGTGCAAGTCCGACTTTTAAAAAATTGTATATTTTCCAATTTTGCTATCGTCACCTGCAGTTAAGTGCATCATCTCTCCCCACTAAGCAAACTGAGGAGAAAAGATGTTTTGTAAGTGAGAGCAGTGCTCTAAAGTCATTAAAAGTCAAACAAAATGGGAAGGTTATGGGCTGGTGTATTACAAGTCAATAAGGTAATCTTCTGAAATGTTGGCAATTTCCATTTAGGGCCTCCTTGTTTTTAACACTACTGTTGAAAACATTGTGGTGGTTGACATTCAACTTGCCATCTCTCCAGTCCTTTTTTTGTGGTGAAGGTAAACTCTGTAGAGAGGGAGTGAAGAGATGCCTTTCATGATTACAAAAGAGAGACTTTTCATTTATTCTGTGAGGGAAAGGTTGCAGAGACACTTAGGATTCTATGTGGGAGTTGGAGTCAGGGCAGAAGTGAGAGACAGTGATGCACTAGCTTAAAATTATTTGGGACAGGGAATGTTAATCTGTGAATAATTTAAAGAGAATTTGATCTTTGTTCTGGTGTGAAGGCGGTGGCAGTAGAGTTATACATAAATGTGCAAATACAGGTTGCCCAAGCAAAATGTCTGAAGCTCTGTAAATCTGAGGCGATGATTGCTTGCATCATGTCCAGGCTTATGTAGCTTGAGTAAAAAGGTGAGTGCAAGAACACCAAGAACCTCCACAGGCTGCGAAGACAATCTTGGAAATATTCTATGATGGGAAAGGTTACAAGTGGTCTGCATGTGGGGACACTGAAAAAGGGCAAAGACAAAATGCCACTTTCAAAACAGGGTAGTAACTTGAGCAAATTTGGGCTATACAAAACTACAGAAGTCTGAGTAATCACACCGTTTATGAAATTCATATGACCTATGCTAATCCTATCTGGAGGAACAGTAGGCAATAGTATGCATTCCAAATGCCTATGTTAGTAGTATTATCCAGATGGTTAGGGCTGTTTCTTTATTAGAAGCTAAGAGGGTAACCTGCATTTGCGTCATCTTCACTCTGGTCTGTTGCGAGTCATAGCAAACTGTCCTTTGTGTGAGCCAAGAAGTTGCTGTCTCCTCTTGGCAAATAGTTAAAGTGTTAAATAGTTGTTTTGTGTAATAACATACATGATTTCCACAAGGAAATGGAATTTGAAGTCTATGATGTTGTTTAGGTTTATTTGGAAAAAAAAAAAGTTTGTTTCCTACTCTTGAAACTGACACACTAGGTTTGAAACTTTCAATTAGTGCACTTGGACAATGCAATTAGTTTATTTTTGTTTGTATAATCTTGCAGTTCTAGCAGTTGATTTATTGTGGAATGACTTGTGTTCATCAAAACTGAATGAATTAAGACTGAAGTAGGGTAGGGAACGTTGTTTTATCTTTAATGAGAGGAACCCATTGCCCCTTCCGGTCCCCAGAGAGCTACACTTGAGCAAAATTTTAACTCAACAAATGGGAACTGAACATTCAATTCGCTTGGCTGATTTTCAAAATTACACTTGACATCTATATGCGAGATATTATCACAAAGATGAAAATACCATAATATCTTTAATTGCGCTCATCCCGGTACAAAAAACATCACCTTTTCAAAAGACTAGTTGTGGGGAATTAGCATGTCTTTCAAGGTTATAAATTGAAAAAAAAGGAGAGGCCAAACAAATCCAAAAGGAGGAGTCTCATACTTCCTCAGTGGAAATTCTTCAATTAAAAACTCCTTTCCTTGCTTTTATGTCCCGTATGTGAAACTCACAATTAATCTGAAAGAAACATGAATAAAATTATAGCTCACACATGCCCTTAAAAAAACAAACCTAATGATCAAAATAACAATACCTTAAAAAATTGAGTTATTACAAAAACGACTTTAACCTCATTTCTTTATTTATGATCTTGATTTAAGATCAGTCTGTGCTCTTTGAGTAAATGCATGAAAAACTCTTTTAACAGAAGTACTATACAATTGCAATTTCTTTGAACAGGTACTTTGTGCTGGACTTTGAGACGGGGATTCTGCAGTATTTCGTGAATGAACAAAGTAAAAACCAGAAGCCACGAGGAGCCTTGTCTTTAGCTGGAGCTATAATATCACCCAGTGACGAAGTGCCACACATGTTGGTGGTCTACTCTGCTAATGGAGAGATGTATAAGTTGAGAGGTACAGTGCTGCTTAAAGTGCCAGCTGAGTCGTTCTTCTCTCCCGCTTCTGCACCTCTTCTCTCATATCTCATTTCTCTTCTACTTCCCTGTGCTATTAGAACGTACTGGTTATACAGCTATATATATTGTTGCATACTATATTATAAAACGCAGTGGAACACTAATCTGGAGTTAAATACTTGTGAATTTACAATATATAGACTTTCTGGGCTGGAAGATACCTCAAGATGCCTTCTATAAGCTGTTATTGTGGCATTTTGATTATACGGTATATCTTGTTTATTTCCGAAGGAAGAAAAAGCTGCTTTCATTGCTGTCCACAGCATAGCATTTCATTTCTAATACTGTTTTCCTCTGCCACAGTCCTGCAGATAATGTGCCGTAATGAATCTGCTGATGGGTTGGAGAAGGAACAAATGCCAGTGGGAGGCTGTTACGATACTCTGTTCTTATCAGTCTTGGAATAATTGAATGCACCTTTAACATAAAATTTTGCCTTCCCTTGCTCCCAACTGTGAGAAATACAGTATAGGGTATGGGGTATGCAAGAGTTAATTCGGAATATTTAAAAAAAAAAAAGGGGGCAGTATGCTGATGCTAAGGTATTTTCAGTATGGTTGATTAATCTGGATGCTTTCCTATAAAACTAGTTTATCAGAAAATAAAATGATATAGAAAAAAAGTGACCTGTAATAGTGTAAGAAAAGTTTAAAATTATGTTAGTTTTATTCTGACCACAGTTTATCAGTTGGTTGGCAGGGCAGAGTATGCAGGACTGTTCTGTGGTGCCGTGTGTTGCTGTTTTATATGTAGAACTGAAAGACAAGAATAACCAGGGAGAGTTTTGGTTAAAATGTTTTGGAACATGCACAGCTAGAAATCACGAACACTTGTGATTTCATTATGATGCTTTGCCAATCACTTGAGATTATTAAATACTTACAATATGCTGCTTTTAATTGAATGAGATCTATGAATTTGATTCAAATCAGTAAATAATTTTTATGATGAGTCAATAACCATTGAGATACTTAATAGCAGAGGAAGTAAGAGAAAATATTTACTGAAATTATCCACTCTGCATTGGTATTCTTAATTAGGATTACTGTAGTAGTGGTTTGTTTAAAAAAAATCCAAACCAACAAAGAAACCCCACAACAAAATAGAAACAAACCTCTATCCTAAATATACTTATTAACAGGAACCACCTGATATAGACTGCAGACAATCTTTTCTATAATTCTTAAACCTGTTTTTTAAAGATGTATAGGGGAAATTGTGGTTTTCATTATCGTGTTTTTAAGTTGCTTGCAAATGCAGGTTTAAAGAGATTTAGTTGAACTACATTAAAACAGAAGTACTTAAGTATCTGGGGAAGTGGCAGCCTGTCTGGTAGCTGATTGACATCCTGAGTGTAGAGGTTTTACTGACTTAAATGCTTCATTATGGCCCTTGTCTTTCACAGAGACACACAAATAAAACAAATTAAAATTAATTTTAAAAAAAAGTCTTCTGGAGGTAATTCTGCTTTTAATAACACTTGGAGGAGATAACCATGGAGAAGACTCATATCTCCTAGCTGGCCACAGCATCTTAAATTGAGATTTAGATGTGCTGTACTGAAGAAGTTACACATACTTAATTAAAGTAGTGTAAATTAGAATTTATAGTGCACACTAATGAATAAATAATCTTCCCCCTCTCCCGTCGCCTTCTCTTATGTAAAAAAAGAATATTGGTTTATGTGTGTTTTCCTGCATTTTCTTGTTTCTGTTCTAGCTGCTGATGCAAAGGAGAAACAGTATTGGATAACTCAGCTTCGATCTTGTGCGAAACATCACAGGGAAGGTAATTCTAAGGTAAATAATTAAGAGGGAGAACTAACTATTATGCTTTAAGTGGTGTAGGTGAAGAGGAGCATGATCTGGAGATAGACTGGCTGCTGTAATTAGTGGGTTGATAGGTAGAGGTTTTTGAATAAAAGCAGGAAGTCGTCATTGCTCACTCACTGGAGCATACTTAAGTCAATTGGGCAATCTTAATACATAAACATTGTCCTATTTCTGAGAAATTCATGAAGTGCATTTTGGATGCTGTCAATACATGGTTAATTGAGTGGCTGGATCAACAGTTTATTAATAAATACCTGTGTGATGTTCTGATTAGTATTTAAAAGTGTTAACTGATAATTAGTTTAATTTGATACAATTTAATGGCTCTTATTAGAGAAGCTTCAGGTAGATGTTAGCAGTGGTCGGTCTTCAAATTCTTTACTAAATCTGACAGAGGTCATAATGTAAAAATTTACATCATTTCTCTTTGAAAGTGATGTCAGAATTTTTGTCCTCAAACAGTTAAATATTTTCGACAGGTAAAAAAAAAGGTTTGGACTTCAAAACTAGTAGAATGATGGATTGAGGGTGTCCCCTGCCTCCAAATAGAAATTACATGAATCTGTTTAAATTAGAACACACTTTGAAAGTGGGAGTTATTAATAACTAACAACCCACCCTATTAGAAATAAGTTATTACTGTATTTATTTTATGTATGCTTTTGTGTTAATACTAAGTCACTAAAAAAAAAAGTCCTACTCTTATCTTCAGTCTTAAGCACTTCTATTGATATCTTTACAAGAATGAAAAAGATTGCTTTCCTTATCGCTTACGGTTTACTATATGAAAAAAAAAAAAAAAGAAGTATATAACTGCAAGCGGAAAGACTTCCTCCCTGCCCCAAGATGTTGAGAATATCAATCTTACATTAACTGCGGTCAAAGTCACGATCCTGAGTGGCTTTAAAAGTTGGACTTTGAAAAGATGGATGTTATTTTGAGGAGACTGGCATTCACTGATATGTGTGAAGTAAAATAAAAGCAACTTTTTTTCTTCCTTTTGAGTGATGTGGACTTACCAAGAAGCAATTATGGTATAATTAAAACCCTTTTTGAAGGAGAGTAAGTAACTTCAGTGTTTCAATGCTCTTTCAGTTCTTATGCATGACAATTAAATATGGTTTTTATACAGTTGTGGCCCAGTACTATTCAGAAAGGTGCAACTCTTCTTGTTCAGGATACTCTTACAGTTGCTGTTGATTTCCAACTCAGGGACTTCCTGTGCTAGGTAGAGATGATCACTTTTTATACTCAATTGCTGTCAATGAATTATTCCTCAGTAAGTTTTCTGGTCACTTCTTGAACCCATGTAAATGTTCTGCATCTACAATGTATTGTTATGAGGTAATAGAACTATTGTTCATTGTATTTGATATCCGAGGCTTGTACAATGGAAAATTAATTCTTATATTTCTACTGCCTATTAGTTTGATGATATTTCTTAATACTGGATTTGTTTTTCTCCTTTTGCCTGCTTCTGATAAGTAATTCTGTAGAGGTGTCTATTTTAATACCAAAACTTCATTTCAGAGTGACAGTAATTGAGTTAAAGCTGATCTTTGTGTAAGGGAAGTTTGGATTGTTTTTCCTCCTTAGGTAAAAACTGTTGCACTTGGTAATAATTTATGTTCAGAATTTTTCATATTGCCTCTCCATGTTGAGCTCCTGCAGTAGTAGTATCTACATATTTTGATAGGCTCTGAATTAATTAGTATGTCAAGAGGAAAAATCTTGGTGATATAACAGTGAAAATATCCAGCAATTAGCAGTGGACCAAAAAAAAGCAAGTAGAATTTTAGGAATTATTAGGAGAGGAGCAGAAAACAAAAGGGAAGATACTTAGACTGCTCTAGCTCTGTCAAATGCTTATCTTGAATACTTTTATCAGTCCCCTTTCATTTATAAAACGGAAACATTGGAGTGGGAGAAAGTACTTCTCATCACTTTTGTTATTCTTCTATACAGAATGAACTTAGATACTGGAGTGTTTTTTCCCCAACGATGAGATTTTGGAAAGAGCTAATCAGGGAAGTATAGTGTTAGTAAGTGTTGTCTTCTGCAAGTGGGATATAGGTTCACTGGGGGAAAATAATGGTATAACCAGGCAAGTAGTGGGAAGGTTCCCAAGAATACCAGTGAAGTAACTCTTAGCTACAGGTCTTTCATATTGGAGAAAGAACACGTTTTTGAAATCTTAAATAGATATTATTGGAAGGAGATTAATTGGAAAACATGAGAATTTGGAGAATGTTTTTCAAAGCTGACTAATTTAGTGGCCTTCTACGACAAAGCTACAGTGCTGGTTGACGTGGGTAAAGCAACGGATGTTGTTTTCCTGGACTTGTGCAAGGCGTTTGACACTGTCCCACATGGCATCCTTGTCTCTAAAATGGAGAGACATGGATTTGACGGATGGACCACTCGGTGGGTAAAGAACTGGCTGGATGGTCGCACTCCAAGGGGTGTGGTCAATGGTGGGATGTCTACATGGAGACCAGTGTCAAGCGGTGTCCCTCAGGGGTCTGTTCTGGGTCCAGTGCTGTTCAACATCTTTGTCAGCGACATGGATGACGGCATTGAGTGCACCATCAGTAAGTCTGCCGATGACACCAAGCTGTGTGGTGCCATGGACTCACTTGAGGGAAGTGATGCCATCCAGAGGGACCTTGATAGGCTTGAGAAATGGGCCAGTGCAAACTGCATGAGCTTCAACAAGTCAAAATGCAAGGTCCTTCACCTGGGTCGGGCCAATCCTAGGCACAAATACAAACTGGGCACAGAGTGGGTTGAGAGTAGCCCTGAAGAGAAGGATTTGGGGGTGTTTATAGATGAGAAGCTCAACATGAGCCGGTAGTGCTCTCATGCAGCCCAGAAGGCCAACCGCATCCTGGGATGTATCAAGAGAAGCGTGATCAGCAGGTCAAGAGAGATGATGCTCCCCCTCTACTCTGCTCTTGTGAGACCCCACCTCGAATAGTGCATCCAGTTCTGGTGTCCCCATCATAAGAGAGACATAGATTTGTTGGAGCGTGTTCAGAGGAGGGCCACAAAGATGATCCAGGGACTGGAGCACCTCTGCTACGAGGGCAGGTTGCGGGAGCTGGGATTGTTCAGCCTTGAAAAGAGAAGACTTTGGGGGGACCTACTAGCTGCCTTCCAATACCTGAAGGGAACTTACAGGAAGGCTGGGGAGGGACTTTTTACAAGAGTGTCCACTGATAGAACAAGGGGAAATGGGTTTAAGTTGAAGGAGAACAGATTTAGATTAGATCTTAGGAAGAAATTCTTCAGTACGAGGGTGGTAAGACTTTGGAATAAATTGCCCAGAGAAGTTGTGGATGCCCCGTCCCTGGAGGTGTTCAAGGCCAGGTTGGACGGAGCCTGGTCTAGTTCAGAGGCGTCCCTGCCCATGACAGGGAGGTTGGATTAGATGATCTCTGAGGTCCCTTCCAGCCTATGCCATTCTATGATTCTGTGATTCTATGAAAGCTGAAGCTGTGTCATTTATTCTGTGAAGTATTCATAGGAGAGCATTCCTTCTTCCTGCACTGAATCCAGATGAGCACTGGTTTCCTTTCTTTCAGAGCTGCTGCCTGCTTCAAAATGCTACTGTATGACTTGCCATCCTTGCTGTCTTTAAAGCTTCAGTTGGGGAATGGAGTGGTGGAGGAAATTAAGCACAGGAGTGATGGGGGCGGGAGGGGGGAGGGTGGTGGCAGGAAGTAAAAGAAAAAAAAAGTCGTACACTGGTGACTAAATTTAGTTGCATCCTAATGAATAGCCCAAAGGTGAGCTATACAGCTAACAAGTGATGTAACACGAGCTAAATGTGTCACTTTGTTTTAATTAAATTTTACATCTTAATGATAAAAAAGCAGTAAAATGATAATATTCTCTGGCAAATAATTCCCATGCTGTAAGATAGTCTTAATGTTGTTGGTATTCCCATACAGGTCTCAATCCACTTAATTACAGACTGCTCAACCTCCACAGAATGCCAAATGACACTGTATTGGAAGAAGTCTTTAGTCTGGTTAGAGTTGCTGGTTTTTTTAGGCTACTCTAAGTGAATATTACCGTACAAGTTTTAATTAAAGCATTAGTCAAATCGGAATTCGGTGGTACAAACTGCTTACAAGAAGTAGGCTTATGCATAGTGTTTGTGGTAACTTCCAAGAATAATTTTATATCCATAAATTCTCACAAGCAATTTCTGTTTCATACCCCTTTTTTCTTGACTGTTTAATGATGGTGGCTGTAAAAGCACTACTGAAAACAAGCACACGGATTTTTTTACCAGCTCTTAATTCCAATGCGTGTATCTATTGCTAGATTGGCCTGTAACTCTTGCATTTCTCAGTGTGTATCAGGAATGTGGCAGGGAACAGCAGCCTTTCTCTTGGGAAGTAGCTTCAGTCTTAAATTATGCTCAGATGGTAACTTTCAGCTTAGATTTGTGCTGGAATAAAGAGGTAGACGACTCCTTGTTCCAGCTTCTGTTTTGGAGCTGCTCAAGAGAGCTGTTGAAAATTGGATGGTGTGGTTTCATGTTTCAGCTGAACCCATCTGCTGATTTCCTGCAGCTGTAAATAGCAGTCCCATTCCTTTCCTCCTGCTGCCATCCTTTGTGCAGGCTCTGTTGTCTCTCTGGTTCTGTGATGGCTTGGACATCAGAAACAGGAAAAAATGACATCTTACTAAAAAGGACTCAGTTACCTCACCAGCTCACTGAGGAACTGGATGAGCACTAATGCAGAGGAAGCTGGACTCTGCTTCCATCAGCCCCTGGTGGTAAAGCCCTGCTCTCTTCTTCCTCCTGGATGGAGGATGGCTGAAATAGATCTGGCCAAAACCTAACCTTTCTCTGGTTTAGTCTGAGACTTTGAGTTTAAAACTGAGCCAACCTGATGATTACATGCCTCTGTGAGGGACTGTCTTGCTCTCTCTTCAAGCAGTGCTCCTGGTGC